TCATGACTGAAATGACTTCAGAATAGACATCAAAATAATCAATATTAGAAATTTCCTCAATACAGATTAGCCAGTAAGTATCAGTCTTTCATAAATTTCGGCACTTTGCACGAATTCTGAGGCGTACTTTATAGTTCCGGGACAAAGAACAACATATTTGCTGAAGGATAAATAGAATAATAAAGTAAATCATGGGAATAGAGAGGATGGATTGATAATTGAACGCTGGTTACGCGGCGGGGAGGGTTTGGTGAAGTCAATCCAGGTGAAGGAGTAGGAGAGAGTGCGCAGAAGAGTACATCCAATTAAAGGGTCGTTGGTAATGTATCTATATATATACGAGAACTTTCAGAACATACGAAGTACTTTCTAGATGGTAAAAACGATGCTTTGAGATCAAAGCAGGCATAAACTGCAAGTCCACGGCGGTTCTTGCCCTTTATTGGGTACGAAATTGTCAATGTCTGCTGCAAAATTTTTATCACAGTCAAAGCAGTGGCTTGAACCGCTTCACTATTGGTGGACCATTTTGTATCACAGGAAGTGAGGAGTACAAATACGGTAGGAGAGAGTTCTGACCTCCAGGCATCCTATGAGCAAGGCACCTGGGCGGATTCTTCAAATTCGGATCGTGGGAAAAACACCGATTATTGCCGAGCACTCAAGCATGTGCGTCTGTAAGCAACCCACAGGGCACGGAATGTGAAGCAGAGGGCAACATCGCTAATGAATTGGCCTGCTTTTCGCCAGATAGCTTCTGTTAAAGACCAGCACTGAAAACGTGATACAATAAGGTAAAAAAATGCCGCACTCCCGCGGTTGGATGCCTGCGAATCCCGTCAAATCTCCTAGTATATATTATTGAATCCTGTGCAGAATAAACTCTTCATACCACTCTGGCTTTTCCATGACTCCTTTCTATTCTCCTAATGGAACCGGGCTTCGGATATCACAGCCTATCAATTTTAATCTTCTTGGCCTTGACACTTCTCGATAACCAATGACAGACTATGCCTCAAACCGCACCTCTGCACAGATCACAGCATCAATCTTGCCCTAGTTACGAGCAACGTCTGTCGCCATCGACAGGCTCTCAAATCAGCATGTGCACGGGACTTACTCATACATTTCATCGTTTACAAAATTTCTACGCCAAACGTTGGACAGTGTCTGGGCGGGTGAAAGCTGTAATGCCGGCGCCAAGACCGCAAACCGTCACGTGACTGCGCTTCTCTATCTACTTCTGACACTGCCAGCCACAGATGCCGTAGACTGCTATTGGCCAAGCAGTTGATCAAGTGGCCAGCGACTAACTGTCGCATGAGGTTTATG